CCACTAGCTGTCGCGATTCGTCAACAGGCTCTCCAAGTGACTGAAGTCCGACAACAAGTTCGTCGAACGCATCCAGATGCTCGGACATGGTCGAGCCGCTCTCCATCTTGAACTCATGCAGGCGACGGACACGGTGGTGAAGCGTGGAACGATTGTAAAAATCTCGTAGGATGCTCCAAGTGTGCATAGCCGTCGACGCAGACCGAACCTTGGTCTGGTGCTGTAGCTCGATATCCTGAGTAATGGTCCTTAACGCCTTGGCGCCGTTGAACAGGCAAGTTTACGTCATCTCTTATTCCCTCTTGACGACTTGAACGTGCTCCAACAAACCCTCTCGCGGCAGCGTCATACGCAGGTCAAAACCCAAGTGCAAGTAGTTCCCACTGCCTAGGAGGACTTCGATTCGCTTGGACGTCATAGCTGTGAGGGAGAAGCGCACTGGGTAGATTTCTTGGTGCGGCTGGTAACCTGTTGATTTGTTGGTAAAAACCGAAGTAGATATTAAGGTAAAATAATTCGCTACCCTGTGCTACATCTAAGCCTATCCGTCTAGATCATTCTGAAAGCAACCTTATTTATTCAAACCAGTAAACGACTACCATAATGTCCGTAATCAATATTCGTAATCATGATGATAACTGTAAACATTACCGGAATAGTTGTGACGTCATCCACGCACATTCGGCGGTGTAACTCAACACATTCGGAGAATAAATATGCCAACGATCTATCATCAACCCAGACACACGGTAGCAAACCGGTATTGTCGATAACCTTTGAGGGACAGTGATGCTTATTTTGGATTTATATTGAGTTTGCGATGCACTTTGAAGACCAAAAATGCTGTTCTCACAACATATTCTGTCGTATTAGAAAATCCAGATTTTTCAAGCTTATGTCCGAGCTTTTGTCCGGTACAATATATAAATGTCCGGACTTCAATCGCTAAGATTCACTATTTATCAGCTGATAAACTAGACATACGTGATATTTTCCCTTACAGCGCTCAGTTCTGCTCCTGGTGGGAAAAACCTCTATGCGTTTGTTAACTTGATATATGGGCAAAAATTGTTTCTTTGAAAAGAAGTCGGCAATTGTTGCAGTATTGACATGTACTTTCGACAAGTGACATAGGCAAAATCTTGAATTCTTAAATAACTGCAGAACTCAAATAGTGGGTCACAATCATGACGAACATAGCCAATTAATTAATCTTTCGGCTCGTCGCATGTTTTAAAGAGCAAGTTTTCGATAAATTAAAGTTTCATTCAAATTTCAATTCTCTGAAATTTTCTTAACTATTTTAAAAACTTAATCGTATCTAGTTTGGCTTGGACACCTTGACGTAGATATAGCACTAATCTAATGATGGAACTTAAAATAGTCTTTGAATCATAAGGTGTCCGTTTCATAACCAGCTATATACTCTTCAATTCCTCACCGCTGTAATTAATTATCATGCCTCGAAAGAAAAGTCTTTGTCACCTTTCGACGCGAAATCAAAAGCTACCCTCAATTCTCTACTTAAGTTTAAAACTTTGTGGTGGTGCTCAACTTGGCAAGGCTGTCAAGGGACGGAGCAAAGATGGCAAAAAAGATGGTTCTGGGTATGAACTATCAGAAGAAGAGCGGCGATTACAAGAATCAATTCGCCGTATGGAAGTAAATGACAATCTCAAGCGCTTGGTCGTGTCGAAAAAGGCTTCGTTACAAGGGTTGTTGGCTACGGAAGAGCGTATCTCGCGCCTTAACAAACTTAAAATTCAAGACCATTGGCGTAAAATTATGAGACTTGTTAAACTTGAAACACTTCGTAAGGAGGTTGAGGTACGATCGCAAAACCACGAGCGTGATGTCGATCGTAAAGATGCTCTGATTCAGATGCTTGATCGTGATTTAAAAGAGGCGGATGAACAATTACGCATGGCGATACGTGCGCATCTATTAAATGTTGATGAGCTAATTGATTTGCAAGATGAGCGGTTGCTTGGGCTAGAAAAGGAATTCAAATCAGATTTATGCGAGCTCGAAAATGAATTCCAGACTGAAAAGACGAAACTTATTGCTCAGCATACGATGGAGCGCAATGAGCTACAGCGCATTATGCAAGCTGTCGAACAACAGGAAAAAGAGCGAGAAGCCGAAGCTAGGCAAGAATATGAACAACTTCGTGAAGAGATAAAGAACAAGAATTTAGAAGACATAAATATATTGCGAATTACACTGGATAGTAGTATTGAGGAACTGGAGCAGCATTTTGAATCTGCCCATTTAAACTACTTACAAAATACAGATCAACGAACACAAGATTTCAAGTATTTGACAGCCAAAGATCAAGATCTGTCGCGTGATATTGAGTTCAAAATTCGCAAGATTGAACGACTTCAGCAAAGCTTGACAATCTGGCGAGGTAAAATTGCTCAGAATGTACATGAGTGTTCTGAGCGCAACAAAGCGCTTGAAGTAGAAAAAGCTACGATCTCGAATCATTTTCGTAAGTTGAAAGCAAAAATGAATGGCATGCGTGATGAGCAGCGACGTCGTCTCGCCCAATTCTCTCAAGGAGCTCATGAAGCAGCAAAGAAGCTGGACACGCATTTGCAGCTAAGTGAGAGAATTTTGCAACTTGGTGAACTTGTACGAAAGCTCGAGACGGAGAGGGAGCGTGTACTGCCTTTCTATCAGTCGACTCTTGCTGATGAACATGACGCTCATGACTTAACAGAAAGTGTACGACTAGCACTGCGAACAGAAAATAGTCGACAAGATGAAGCGGATCAGATGCTTGACTATCAGCCTCAAGGACTACATAATGGCACTCCTGTGAGTGAGTGGGAATACCTTGACTTATTCTGGAAAAGGCACAATAAGGTGCTGCTTGACGAAATTACTTTACGTCGTGAAAAAGATCGTGTTGCTGCTGAGAATCGCGAACTTCAGACAATTTTACAGCAATATCTCGCCGGAATTTCAATTGGCCCAACGGTTCTGGACGGTGCGAACCCTTTGTTAGTAGTCAATGGACGGTTAAGACTTCGCCAACCGGCAACAAATCAAGATTGTAAACCGGGCTGCCAACCCGTCATTGACGCCAACCACATGGTCGACACGAACCGAGTATCATAGAAAGATGTAATCTAGAGCTTGTTGACTCGACCAAATCTAAAAATGAGTCAAATTTCTTGAATCCAGCATAACTCACAGGCATGTATAGTTATTTAACAGTTAAGCACTAGATTGATAAAAACGTGTCGAATCTAATACTATTGATCTCAAATAACCAGATATGGAAATTGGTGAAGTTGCAGCAATTGTAGTTTATCAAAGTCGGATCCGCTTGCTAGCCGCTAACAATGCAGGACGTCTTCACTTTCCTAGCTTTCTGGTGCACAGCTTTTGTTTTGAAAGTATTTCGCCAAGTCTGTATATAGATAGTTTTGCTCCAAAGCTGCATTTGGGGGTAAATTGAGGTGATTGCGAAAAGCTGTCGAAGCTGTTCAAGAAGTTTGTGGTTTGTAGCCTTCGTCATGCATCGTAAACACTTCAAATCGTTTTTAAATGACCATAAACTTATAGCTTGTTCAGATGACCCCCTTCAAAACCGTTAAAGAATGATAGTGCAGCTATCTATTCCTTATACGTGCATAAGTTTTAGATTTGCTCGTACTGAACTTAGGCTAGTGGTTAAATGAGTGGGGATTATTTCATCAGAACAAAGTTTATATAAACGGTGTTTACTATTCCTTGTGGGTGCTCTACGTCTCTTGTTCTAATAATGGTTTACAGTCCAGATCGTACATTATTAGGCAGAGGAATATGATATAGGTTTGACAACGTTAGGACGATGGAGAGATAGGAATATAATCAACTTTTCTTATTTCACGTTTGACGATCAAATCAACAGGTTTTCAGCCGCAACCTAGCTTTTCTACTACGACGTCCGTGTTCACGATGGCGAACCTTCGAGGAGTGGTAGCTACTACCACATGAAATTCAATATGAGGATGTCTCTGGCGAGAAGGGATCTTCTGGGGAATGTCTCGGCCGTCAAGAAGAAGGCGAAATCACATAGACGTGGCTTGTGAACGACGCCAAAGTATTGAGTATCGTTTCGCAAGGCAACATCAGATCATAATTTGGTGACTATGAGTACCATGGAGGCATGTGAAAAAATACTAGATTTCAGCAGCTGGTCGACATTGCATAATCGCGCGACGATGACGCGGCTACCTCACGATGTCAAGATGAAAACTAGCATGACAGAATATCGTGACTCTTTTGACGAACTTGTTGTGAGTATCCAAAAAAAGAAATGCCAGTTGACGAGTTGCAACAGCTGGTGGAACGTTTCAGCAGTCTGGCGCCGGAAGCTGACTTGATCTCATCGATTGTGAAAAATGCGAAGGACATCATGTCAGAGGGAAGCTGCTGAGAGAGAAGCTTCACAGAAAGGTAACGACGGTGAAAGCGTTCCACGTAGATAGGAATGCTGGAAGATGCAAAAGTGGGCAAAGCAACGTTCGAGAATATGGCGCTTCACGTAATACTGGCAGACTTCGGGATAAAAATTTTAGTTGAGACAACTTTGTTTATATAAAGCGGAGCCGCTTGGCCGGAAAATGTGTCAGCAGTGTTGAGTAGTGGAATACAAAAGCCGAAGTGAATTAGTAACCAGCTACACAATCTACCCTTCCTACATGTCCGTAACTACCTTCCTGTGTGCCCTTCTTGAAACCTGTTCCTCTGCAGCAGCCGCCCTCGACCTTCTACTTGCGACGCCCCGAGAAGATAAATGGTCGCATGGGGGGAGCTTTGGATGTGCTCTAATCACATCCAGCACCCACTCCATTATCACCCAATCAG